TTTATTTAACAATGACAAATAAAATAAATTAAGGTGCAAAAAATATTGCATACATGACACATGTATGTCGAGTTGTTCTGCACAGGCAGAATAGCAGCACTTGATTCGATCTAAATAATAAATTTCGTTATTTACAGATTCATCAGAGTTTACACTGAGCCGCAGGCCCGTGTTTAATACATTGCACTGGGAATGTCCTTGTAGAAAGACGAATGAAGAACACACATTAATCAGCATGTTAGAGTCATTTCATTGGAAGTTCAGGGCCACGGCCTCCACAGAGACTGGCTGACCGGGAGGCTTTGAGACGGGCTCTGTTTGCTCGCTCTGCTCGTCACTGTGTGGGTCTGCTGGGGAGCTGAGGGGGAACGATGTGAGTCCACTCGGTTCTGAACACAGCTGGCCGCATTTAATGCAGGTTTGCACAGTCTGGACCTGTTTATGAGCAGCCGGAGAGTCGATACGGACGACTTCCTGAGGAGCAGAGGGCTGGCGGAGCTGGTGGGGGACCGGACCTCGGTGCTCCTTTGGACGCCGGTGGGATCGGGGTCTGACCGGGCAACGCGTGCAGCGAAAGACGCGTCCAGCGCCGCTCCGAGCCACAGGCCTTTCCCCTGGGGTCCCAGGAACTGCGCCGCTCTCTGCAGACAGGAGGAGGCGCCGTCTTGGAAGGAGAGTCTCTGAGCTCCGCCGCCACATCCCAGCCTGTCTCCTCTGGCGGTGCTCTGGAGGAAGAGGACCGTGTGCTCGAGTATCTCAGCTTTCTCCACTCTGCGTTGAGTCTCTTCCTGTAGTGACACAAAGTCAGTCAATACACATTTTCTCAAAGGCTGCGTTAAACACGCGTCTCATCTTGAAGGACGGACCGGTGGAAATGAGGTTTTTACCTGTTTGTGAAGCAGCAGGGTCTTCAGGCTCTCCATGCTGCGGTTCATTCTCTCTCTTCGGCGTCTCTCCACTTGAGGTTTGAGACTCTGCGGGAAACAGAAAGGAGATAACGACATTAATTTAATCAGTCTGCAGAGTGACGTGAGCGATGTGAGACAATAAGATCATCTGGGAGCTTCCATGAAGACATGAATCGTACACGTACCTTCCTGTTGAGCTTCGCTTCCTCTGTATCTTGATGCAGTTTCATGATTCTAGTCCAAGAGCTGTCCAGAGGTTCCCAGCAGCTGTTTGTCAGATGAGGTTGAATGAAGCTCTGAGGTCTCACTGAGGGCTTTTAACCACCATATGTGGGCGTGACTTCAGGCTCCTCCCACCAGCCTGATCACACACTTCACTTCTCTCCCATCAATGAACTTTATTTTACTGCTGTTAGAGTCTGTAAAACATTTAGTGTTGCACGAGACCCAGTTCTGTGCTGAGATTCTCTTTATCCTGCAGTTTGCTGTCATATTATCATATTATTAATGTTAAAACTTTGCAATGAAACCAAGAGTGTAAAACTTTACAATCTTATATATTTTATTCCGTTAACACGTTTTTGCCTTAAATGTCTGTCTCAACACTTATTCGGCAGAAAGAGGATGAATGCAGACTGGAGGACGCGCCATCAGGACTCTTCTCTGATCCGCAGCCACGCGCAGCTGCCCAGTCGTGTGTTAGCGGCACGCGCCTGTAAAAGGTGCCACCGGCTCGCGTGACGCAAATTTACACATGTGAGAGACAACAACACACATCCGCCAGAACAGCGTGACGCTCAGACAAATGCCTGCGGGCGACTCGCGCTATTATTATGGACGTCGAGAAGTGTGTCGGGTGTCAGCTGCTCAGTTGTGATGTTAAAAGATGGAAACAAACACTTGTTTAGTAAGATCCAGTTTCACTGTGGATTGGATCAGACACGAGAGCTGTACAAATCTACAAGAAGGAAAACGTTACGGCGTGCGTAAAATGTTTCACTTCATGCTAAACTTTGTGAAGTGTTTTCTGTTTGGTTGTGAATATAAAACACAAGCACGTAGAAACCAACCGTGGACTTCAGTTGATCAATAACTTAATTAGAAAAGTGATTCTTCACAGGCAAGGTTTCTGCAAAATCCACTGAATATCCCAATAATGTGCCGTGCGTAAAATCCCCTTTACGCGTGTCTGTGACATCATGATATTTTAGCCAAATGGCTGTGTGGCATCGTTTCGAAAGACCAGCGCGTGGGATCCTGACATCCACCTCTGCTCCAAACACTCTTTGTTACGATGTATCGATTCTAACAGGTAATAAAGCGTGAACAGGGCTCCCTGCTCGATTTTCCCATGAGAGAGAGTTGGAGGAACCACTCACACGTTTGCCCTCACAGCTGATGATTTCGTTGCAAATATCTGTCTCTCACCCCTTAAACCAACCTGAACCAACTTCTCAGATTCTCGAGAGATAATTTCAAGCAGCATAAAAACACGATTTCTTTCTGTTAAGGCAAAAACATGGGGCGCGTAAAATCTATTCCTTTCGGGGCTTTAGTGTTTAATTCTATTATTAAAACAAAACGAGGACTCATGTTTGTGTCACTCACAGGGGAAATGGCGCGCACTTACAACTTTACAACGTGTTAAAGCTGATACACCAGTGGGAACGGGGACACGGGGAACAGATACTCCCGCCGTTCCCACGCGCCTTCACGTGAGACTGAGGTGCAAATGACACTGAAGAGTTCTGTGTGTTTGGCGCAAAGATCAGAGCGTTTCCCACGAGTTTCCTCACGTCAACAACATTAAATTCTGTCACCAGGAAACAGTGAATTTATTCATAACAGTGTTTTTTTATTCTCAGGTAAATCTCTATTTAAATTGTTTTAACTCAATGTCGATGTTAGTGCAGGAAAAAGTGGCATTACGCACGGGAATGACACTTTTTACGCACGAGTTCAACCTSTTTTTACCTGGTTTAAATTTCACTACACATCTATTTGACTGTATCAGTCGCGTCTAAATATCTTTTGAGATTGGCCACCTGAATGTTTGTTTGAGTTTTCCTCAGTAGAGAAAAGAAGCTGAAGCCAAATTGTGTGAAGTGTCCCCCGCATGGTGCCTCTCATCCTCACGTGTCCACACCTCACGCTCCTCGAGACGCGTGCCAGCAGACAATGAATGAACACATATGCATCGATGGTGATTTTTCATTTTGTTTATTTAACAATGACAAATAAAATAAATTAAGGTGCAAAAAATATTGCATACATGACACATGTATGTCGAGTTGTTCTGCACAGGCAGAATAGCGTGAATAGATTCACTCTGGATGTCTGAAGTGTGCCTGTGGGAAACAGAGAGGCACCTCTCGCCCAAGCACTTCATTCGTAAGCGAAGTATCGGTTCTAACAGGTAATAAAAGTGAGGACGAAGCCTCCTGAGAAAGAGCCGGAGAACATCGTCCCACCGTCACACTTTATCCAACATGTGTTGCTGCGTCACACGACAAATGTGCAGCCGCTAAACATCCACTGATTGGCACTATCTGTTGCCAATCCGTTTGGAAACGCGTGACTATTATTGTTTTCACTAACTTCCCACTGCAGCTCAGCTCACACACACCGGGCTGAGAAACACAAGGGGGTTGTTGCACGGGAAAAAAAAAAAAAACTAAGGTAGGTGGAGGATGTATTTATTACTCCTGAGTTTAGATAAACGTTTACACAGAGTTTTACACTGCATGCATCACCTCCATTACACGTGGATGACTGATTACAGTGTAAGTATAACCTGTTGCATACATGGGCACTTACATTTTAGTAAAAGCACTAAAGTATTATTAGCTGAATAAAGTTTACATTTTCAAAAGTGATATGAGTGAGTGGTAAATGATAATATCTGATATTAATGGATTTGCATGTAACTCTGTGAAAAGCATTTTACTGGTGTAGATCTAATTCAGTGTCACAAGAGAAATATGACAGGTCATGAGATGATTAACGTGGGAAGAAAGAAGAATTCGTTTATTAGTCTGTATTGAATTTAATGGATAATTGTCCCTCGTGTCTGAATCATGACACACGACAGCAAACAAGGCGTCACAAGCCAAATGGTTGGGAACTTGGTTGAATCTGAATAGTGTGTTGTGTTTTATAACCTTGTGATGTTTGTATATTAATCTTAATCAGTAAAAGCTCTGGAACAAAGTACAGTACATGAGTTAAAGTATATAAAAAATATATCAAATGTAAATAAGCTACTTGTCACTACAGTTCTTGACAGGATCTACTTTCTTTCCAAAAACTATATATTAGGGAAAAAACAAACATTTTAACAATTTAGTTCGCTCTGGTTATATGATCCACATTCACTGTTGGTTTAGGAGATTATAATTTTTTTTCAGAGTCACATAATGGCTTCTGTCTTTTCACACATTTCCTCTCAGGGGGATATCGTCTCTCTGCCTCATGTGACTTTTTACACCCTGATATTCAAAGCTCGTGATCTCCTCCAGACACGCGCTGCAGCTCCAGCAGCACGCGACCACTTCACACCTTGACGCGCGCCGGCTGAGAAAAGCTTAACGACAGACACGGTTGTAATGTTATTTAATAAACTTTCCAAGAACTCCTAATAGACTGAGTTTAATGAGGTTTATAGTGTATAAATGGAGAGATCCACTGCCACAACAACTCTGGCACATGCACCTTTAGCCTTTATTTAAAAAAGACATCAAATCTCAGACGAAGACAAAAACTTAAAACATCAGCAAAACAACCAGAGGAGGAACAATCGACCTGGACATCGTGGATGGAGAAACACTGGATAAACACTGAGTAGAAACCAAACATCTTCGTGCTTTAGCGACTTGATTTTAAACGAGGGAGCGGTGGGGTCGTAAAGCTCAAAGTTTTCTTGGGAAACGTTCACATGAAACCGTGAAACTCTGAATGAGCTCCACACACGTTCAGGCTGTGCGTAAAAGTAGCGAGCGACGCGTAAAGTTTGGTGCGTAATTTGCATTCGTGTGCCAAGTGTGTGCCATGTGTCTATGCACCCCCCCCCCCCACACACACACACACGCTTCTTTTCATGATGTACTAATTCTAACAGATAATAAAAGTGCAAATGGAGTTTCACTCCCCTGTTCCCACGAGAAAGATCCAGAGAGCTGTCTCCCAGGCTGCTTCACTTCACTGACCTCAGTAACTGCAGGTGTTTCGAAGTAAAATAACCAAAATAAAGAAAAGCTGTTGTTTTTTTTAAATGTCTTCCATGAAGCAGGATTTACACACAAGTGTCATTTCAGCCAAACTCGAATCCAAACATAAAGTTTGACCATTTATTCATCATTCATTCATTCATTCGTTCGTTTATTAGCATGTTGCGGCTGAATTGTTGTGTGTTAGCAAACTTTTTGACTCCTGGCCTCGACTGTTGTTGTGCACACGTTACCTTTGCGTTTTGATTCTTGACTTTTTGTTCGCACACGGTCACGATGCGTCCGGACTCGAACATAATCCACCACAGTGCGCACTCATCCATCTTACAGCTCAATCATTTACAGGTCAACTTGTATTGTTTGTTTGTGTGTTTGTTTGAACCACAGGACACAAGTCAGACCCGTGTGCCTTCCCAGCATGCAACACTACCTCGCTACCTGTTTTAGGTGTAATACCCTTTGGGTGCTGCCATCAAGTGGACAATCTTTGTACAGCAACGGAAAAGCATTCAAAGCGATAATATTTGGGCAAACAAACCGGCTCTGTAAGCGAATGTAGAAAAATCATCTTATCATAGCTTCATAGTAAAATGTGTTAAATAAACCACAGCGTCAGGAGACGTGAGCTCTGGAACTTCAAAGCGCCTCGGGAGGCGTGAAGACACGTTTTGTTTCCTGTGATCTGACGCCTGACGCGCGTGGAAGACAAATGGTCTTTGTTAAGCAGCTGGAGGGCGAAGTGTCTGAGCGAGAGGAGACTAATCCCAAAGAAAACAAAGGCCTGAGCTGCTTCGATGTCTGCTGATTCAATTTAAGGAAGAGAAAAAGCAGCCTACTCCCTTTTTTGAAAAGCAACGAAATAAATACAATATGAATACATCTGAGAACTTCTACATGATAACAGAAAAAGGAGTAAATATATATATATATATATTTATGAGAGAATAAAGAATAACATGTGGGTCAGGCTTCTTAAAAAGTGAAGGGAACAGAAACAGATTCAAAACTGTTTAATATTCAACATTTCTAGAGTTGAATCTTTGGCACATGCTGCTCTGGGCTATATTATATATTTTCTCCTTGTTTTATTCCAAAAGGATTCCTAGCTGAGTGAATCACGTGTGAACGGGCCTGTCCTCTGATGTCTCTGTGAAGCGAGATACTGCTACTGCAACTCTTTCACCTCAGGGCCAGACTTCACACCTGCAGGGATGTAGCTCCGCAGGCCGCCGAGCTTCACGCCTCCGTCTCAAACTAAAAAGAGCTGTCAGAGGCAGCCGACACAAAGGGCCCGACGGTTTGCGTCTCATGTTATTAAGGATCACTGACACCAAGCATTTTAATTTGTAAAAAATGTTTTTATTATAAAAAAGGAATACTGCTCACCATAGGGAGACATACAGAATAAATTAATGTGCAAAATAGACAAGATATATATTTAAAGGGAATTGACTTCGTATTGGACACGTTGCCATTGAGGTCTTTCATGTCAGCAGGTGAATGTGAGTGTCCTCCCAGCGTCAGACTCTGAGGTAACACACCTGGAAATGTGATAGACGGACACTCGGTCATTATCCACGTCTTCAATCAGAGCTGATCAGACAGTTGTTTTTTTTTGCAGAATATGAGGGAGGAGGCTTCTGTTCGATCACTCACCTCTGAACTCATTCTTCGGCACAGCAACAGTCCCAGCTGGACAGCTCAGCTCGGCCCGGCTCAGCCGCCTGATCCAACTCACGCCTGTTCCAGTCTGGGAGAGTCCCTATGTGCCTGTCAGCTGAATGCACGGCTGCTCCACTGACTGAGCTCATTCAGAAGCATTTAACACCGGCAATGAGACGATTGCATTATCTACAGGTCGTGGGCGAACACCAACACTGTTACGAGTTATCAAAGAGCAGATATTCTTGACACCAGTGAATATGAATCATATCAATCATCAGTCTGTCATTTAAAGATTCAGGTTCAGAGCGTTCACTGCCTGGGGATCAGGGCCAGGGCCTCCACACAGTCTGGCTGACTGGGCAGCTCTGGCTCAAGCTCTGTTTGCTTTCTTGACTCGACGCTCTGACCTCAAGATCACTTTGTTTCTGAGAATCTTGGGGAACTCCGGGAGACCTTTGCTGCACTGGACGTTGGTATGGATGAACAGAACTGTTTGCACCAGAGGTCTGTGTTTGCAGTCTGAGCTTAGACTTCTGTCTAAGCATCCGAAGAATGGACTTGGTCTGTGTCACAGAGCTGGAGCAGGAACGGGCCTCGGTTCTCATCTGGACGCCTGTGGGATCAGCGTCTGAAGGGGCAAAGCGTGCAGCAAAACGTGCGTCCAGGCCTTTCCCCTGAGGTCCCAGGAACTGAGCAGCTCTCTGCAGGCAGGAGGAGAAGCCGTCTTGGAAGGAGTGTCTCTGAGCTCCCATCCTGTCTCCTTGAGTGTTGCTCTGGAGGAAGTGGACTGTGTGCTCCAGTATCTCTGCCTTCTCCAATCTCTGCTGAGCCCCACTCTGAAAGAAAACACACGCGTGAGTTAATGGAGTGTGCTGGCTGCAGTCACAAAGTAACACAGTGTTCGGTTTCTGCTCATGTTTGAAACTAATTAAAAATATTTGCGTTAAAGTTTTCTCCTCCTCACCAGTTGTTGTGGCTCCTGCAGCAACACGGTTCTCAGACGCTCCAGGCTGCAGTTCATTCTCTCCCTTCGACGTTTCTCCACCTGAGATTTTATGAACTGGATAAGAAAGAAAACACTGTCAGGGTGTGACAAGTATTCAATTCAGTTGCTTTTGCTATATTAACATATGACATATCTGAATAAAAGCAGCAGCAGAATCTTTTATTTACCTTTCTGTCTGTTGTTATCTCCTCTGTTCCCTGTAGCAGTTGCATCGTTGCTGTTCGTCCAATGTCTGTCCTCATCCAGAAGTCAAAGAGGAGTCTTCTCAGTCTGCAGTAGATCTGGTAAATAATGCTCTGGTCTCTGGGCGCCCCTTTTAAACTCTTCCTGCCAGTCCTCCAGACTCCTCCTCCTCTAAACACCCACGTTTCACAATCCACTCCCACTCCCCTCAGACGTGCACTCTCCCACCCACCTCCTGCTCAATAAACCCATTAGACCATTTCAGATTAAATTCAGTACATTCATCCTGCGATTTACTGAAATGAGGAATCGACTGTTAAAAACAGATCAGCTTGTTCTGAAGATTCACATAAAAATACAAACGTGTGAAACATGGAACAAGGAAATCCGTGCGTAAAAATCTACAAGTGAGTTGTGTTGTTGTTTATTGTGCATGAATTTCTGGAAGATTTATGTGTTATTCTTCGTGGATTTAACATAAAAAGTGGCTTTAGCTCGTGTAGAACTAATATTCTTCACACATCTGAACGTTGAACGTCAATCAGGTGCATTTTCACAGATATTTCCTGCTGCTGTTTCATTGCGTTTGCGCACTGTTATAGCGGTTTGGGCTAATTTTAGAGGTTCCAAAGGATTCTCAGTTTTCCTGTAATATCAGTGGCCCAATGTAAGACTGGGCCACGAAGAGACGTGAGAAACTGAGCACACGTGCACGTTTGGGCTGCATGAACCATTTGGGATGCTCGCCACTGCATGAGTTGACACTTCTGTCCATCTGTGCTGCTGTTTGGTTAATGCACCAAAACATGTGGCTCACATTTGAATGTTTCCTTAAAGTGTCTCTCTCTTTTCTTTCTGCTTCTGTCTTTCCAATGAAAATCATCTGCACCTCGCCGTCCCTGCACGCTTGACACCTCTGCACACGCGGACTGAAGGTGTGAGGACGGCGAAACGTTTTGCTTTCACACCTCCGCGTCGTCGTGCGACACGCGTTCCGTTTGGGGTCTCGTGCTGGCGCGTCGTTTAGAGCCGCAGTTGTTTCACATTTGCTTGTGAGGAGTGTGATGTTTCCTGGAGACCGTGGGAAACACGAGTGACAACTTTTCTTTTCACCACTGGATCCCAGAGGGGAGCCTCGGGGGTGCTTCAGTGCTTCTCATTAATTAACAGCCTTTAACGACATTAAACCAGGGGCACGTGGTTGTAATCCCATTGTGGGCTCTTTACTCCGGACGCACTTATCTCACTTTAACCGTTTGGCTGAAGAAATACCTGCGTAAAACTGCTCCACTGAACAATACAGCAATTTCCTTTAAGGCACAGAAACAAACAAATCTTACATTTTTACAGAGGAGTTGCTTTTATCAGGTAATTCAAATTTGTTTTATGCATTATGCTACTGTGTGTGTGTGTGTGTGTGTGGTATACTGCCTACCTGAAAGTAAAAGTAAAGTAGAATGAAAGTAAACTAATAAATAATAAAACTTGTATTTAAAAAGGAGAACATTGCTGTATTAAATCGCTCACAACATTTTCCATTGTAACTTCCTGTATATCTTTGTATTTAAAATCATGAAATAGTTTTCTTTTACTTGGTATATCTTCCATCTATATCTAATCAAAGTGTTTTTGAGTATTTGTATTTGAATGTTCACGTTGTCCTCTAACACAGATCCAGTGAGCGCTGTTCACAACATTATAAGTAAATGATTTCATTACATTATCAGGGAAGATGTGTTGCTATTCATTTTGCCATTTAATAAAAGTAAATAAAATTCCATTCACCACAGCAGCCCTTAATATAAATAAAGTGTCACTCCACCGAAGTCTAACACTCGTAGTTATCAGCAGTCTAAGTACGTCTGACTTCCTCATGAAGATCCCAGCATCATTGTTCAAAACATAACCTCCCTGCCGAAGGTGAGTAAACAGCATGATGGCTAAATAAAGTTAAAACTTTAGATGTTTGGAGTCTTCTGTTATTTGAACGCAGCTTTCAGTCACATCTCAATTATTCTGCGACCTAAACCCGGAACAATCCCCCACTCACCAGCTGGATGTGAATACAGAGTCTTTATTGTAAAAGAGGTAGAGAGAATACAGGTGTTTCACTGTACAGAAAAAAGACAGCACTATTGATATACTCATTCAAACCATTAATATGGACTCAAACACACCTCATTCGTTTTACAGGGACACATAAGCCCGGTAGAAACACAAAAACAAAACAGAGAAACAAACACACAAAATCTTTGGATTTTTCTCTATTGCCCCCTCATTCACTTTATGCATTCTCTCTGTCTGAGCTAAAATGAAAATAGTCGTAGCACTAATGACAAAACAGCAATAATATTAATAATAACGATATAGTGTGCTAAAAACAATGATGATGCAACCCCAGCCCTTCCACAACCACAACCACCTCAGTAACATGTCAAAAGTGGTGAAAAAAGAAACCCTACAACCCAATAATAAAACCACACTTGCATGCACACGACACACACACACACACACACACACATTTTCACTCTACCATCCGTGCACTCAGGTAATCATACAAACATAAGAATGACCCCTCCCCCCCCGCTGAGCGGTAAGAAAAAGAAACGACGTACATATAAAATAATCAAACCAACCGAACATACAAAAACAACTGCAGCCAAGTGGGAAGTGTGATATCATTCTTTCTGTCTTTTTCCGTCGTCACTCTTTCCGTAGCTGTCATTCTGTGCCAGTGGGCGGAGACATCAGTCAGAGTTATCCGAGTTGTCGCTGCGGGGCGAAGTGCCACCCGGGGGCGAGTTTCGACCCGGCCAGTTTCCATTTGACTGAGCAACGAGAGAAAGAGCAAACATATAAACAAGGAGGTACAATGGCCGACTATTGCCTGAAATGAGCCTCTTAATGCGTCACGGCCCACTTTCCTCTACAACCCCAAACTGTTTAAATCATCCTTTTTTCTGGGAAGCTCTATAAATATCAATCTAAAAGACATGGAACTGATTTAAGACCTTGTCAAAGTCATGTTACCCTTCGAGGTTAAGCAGCTGACAGCTTCTCTTTGTTTAAGGTTTTGATTGGAAACGGTCAAATCTATAACTTGGGTTACGAAAATGGAAAATCTGGTTATTTGGGGATTTACACGTTTAAATCAGCTGGTTATCAATTCCTGGATGTCTGAAAGCTGACAGGCTCAGATAACAACTGTATTACAGTGTATGTACAATGACGGCTTTGACAAACTGAGTCAGTTGAGTTCATTCTAATTACACGATGAAACCAAGGCCTGTCTAAAAGGAAGTAGACAACACAGAGCAGATGTGAGCAGTAACAATGTGTAAATATATAACAACCACCAATAAGACAGATACAATTAAACAGATACAACATTTTAAAATATGAATAGAACGTAAACAACAATAAAAAATTGTCCGTAAAAGATAGATATACGCGCCACTAGGTGGGCGGTTGCCGCATTCGTCTTACAGGCAGGTATAGTTTATTTTGTTTATTTGTTAAATGTCTCCAGTCCTTGGTGTTAGGTTATTGTATTCATTTACCTGCACTCCCATTGGGTAGGCGGACTGCTCTCCATTCACCGGTGGAACCCCGAGGAAAAGGTCAGCTGACCCAGACAGAGAGAAGGAACCAGATCCTGAAGAGAAACCGCCGCGTGTTAGAAACGTCATCAACACGTCCACTTCCCCGCTGCGAATTTTCCAGACATTTACCTGCTGTATTCTCACACGGGCTCACTAACTATTTAACAATGTCCAGAGCAACTGACTGAGACATTTGAGTTCTCACACACAGCCCCTCTGGATAACTTCGGGACAGTGTCTGGAGTTCAGTGCATGTCTGAAAGCAGCTTTGTTGACTTGAAAATATGGAGAATGCACAAAGAAGACCTGCAATAACAAAAAGCTATGCAGCAACTGTCTGTGGTGGCTTCAGGAACGCTGGTAACCTCAAACCAGAGTTCACAAGGGCAGCTTATTGCGAAAACCAATGAGTACAGGGTGGAGACATACTGAGTCACCGAAGAGTGGACCTAACAACATGTTTCACTGCTTCGAGGGAAACAGCGTCACAAGTCGTAGCTGTCATCTTGGCGTCCTACCTGTTGAGTTGGGAGTGTGCGGGGAATCGTCGCCCTGTCTGGCACCCAAGGCCGTCTTCATGGCATAGAGGTTGGCCTCCTCTTGGAATTTGCCAATGTTTTTCTTGTAGCGGATTCTCTTATTGCCAAACCAGTTGGAGACCTGATTAAAAAAAGAAAAAAAAAGAAGACAATATTCAGTATACGCTCTTATGTTGGAAGATTAGACTGAGAAGCAGAAATATAAATGCTTCGTCTTTAGGAAGTGCAAGTCCAGATACTGACTGTACTTAAAACATCTTCATTACACTCATAACGTGCTCCTACACGTACAGAGCGCTCTGTGATTTACCTGAGAGACGGTGATTGAGCAGTGTTTGGCGAGTTCCTCTTTGGCTTCTTCGCTGGGATAAGGATTGGACAGGTGGGAGTAGAAATACTCGTTCAGGACCTCTGTGGCCTGTTTGCTGAAGTTACGCCTCTTGCGCCTGATGACACACAAACGGGTGACGATCATGAGAAAACAACACCTGAGATTTTATTTTGTCAGTAACAAGCTTTTTTCACAGTAATTGTTTGGTCGGAGTTCCCACATTCTCTGTGTCCACTTATACAATCAGGTCTAAATGGTTGTTATGTTAACGCAATATGTTTCACAAGAATAAATATTTGTTTGACTGAGAAATATGTAAAATACGACATCTGAAATATTTAATAAGATGCATCAGGGAAGTAGCACACTTTCACTATTTGCCCCAAACCATTTTTTGGCGGAAACATAAACAGCACTTATAAATCATTATTTAGCAAAATAAATAAAACCCACACACCTAGCATCCAGGAAGCGGGACCTCAGGATCATGACTGCCTCACAAGTGCTCTGCTTCAGCTGAGTCTGGATCGAGCTGAACTTGCGGTGAATGATGGCCACCATGCGCTCGATCTCGCGCGGGGTCACGGGCCGCGTGCGCGACTGCTCCCTCAGCAGGTTCATCACATGGGTGGTGAATTCAGTGCACGCCTGGGTGGGGCAGGGCACGAGAGGACAGACAGTGAAGGACAGAAGTGTGCCAAGCAGTGAAGCTATCAAGTATTATTTTATATTGGTTTGCTTTGATTTATCACAGTCTGATCTGAAATGTCATGTCGAGATTTAGCATTCTGAAGGCTGTAAATAATAAACATGTACATTACATTTCA